AACGTTTCTATAAGATGACTTCTGAAGCCTGGGATTTGCATTGTTAATTTGTAGACCTCTTGAGGGAATGGTCTTGTGTGACGTGGTTGGATAACAGATAAGCACTATGTTAAAATAGAGCAAGACTGGCTACATGGTAATTAAATCAATATGATTAGGAAGAATTTTGTTTTACAGATTCCTGGAGAAATAACCCTGGAAATGTTTCAAAATAAAAAAAAAAGGGGGGGTCATTTGGTTTAAGTTCATCTGACACAAAAATTAAAGAATCTTTGGCAGCGGTATGAAAAAAAATTATGTTCTATAAAAATAAATCTTGGACGGTATGTAACTGTTAGAATTCTTTAATTTCCACCCCACAGGAGCATTTGTTTGGTTCTGAAAAGATTTAATTCAGAGCAAGCAACCAGGGCATGATGTTTGGTCTTTGGAAACTAAGTATTAAGAGCTCTTGAAAGCTCCACCAACATCTTTACCCCAATTTGGGGAAGAGATCCTGAAAACGGAAGAGATCACCTTAAAATAATTCTTTTTTTTTTATATACATGTTTTTGTCTTAAGGTTTTATTTAAGTGATCTCTACACCCAACGCGGGGCTCAAACTCACGACCCTGAGATCAAGGGTCGCTCGCTCTTCCGACTGAGCCAGCCAAGGGCTCCACATGAAAATAATTCTTGAATGCATAGGATGAATACCAACAATACTACAGAATTAACTATGTTCTAAATGTATTACTTAACTATCTTCAAAGGCACTCCACAGAAATGAGGAAGGGGCAGAATGATCAGCTGTACTCTCTTGATGAGCAAAGGGGCACAGTAGAGTTAAATAACTTCATGCAGGGTCCTTCGGTAAGGAAAATTCAGAGACAAGACCAGTTGACTCTGTGTCCTGACAAGATGGACTCATTCCTAGTCTTGATTAGTCTTAGATGGCACTAAATTTTGGTGAAACTAAAATTATTGCCCACCTCTTGTACTCAGTGTATTGAAATCTGTTTTCTGGAACTGTTGGCCAAAGGAGCTCCCCTAGATGGGGCAGGCAGGACCCAATATTAGAGACTTTTGGGGATCCAGTGAGTTGACTCAGGAAGCTGGGTGATTGGTATTGACTTGATCCTAACTCCACTCTGTCACGAGATGCAAGTGGTTCAACTTTGACAATATTCCTGAAGTGTGTTCAATGTTCTTTATTACTTTTTTAATGCTTATTCATTTTTGAGAGAGAGACAGAGTGCCAGCAGGGGCGGTGCAGAGATGGAGGGAGACACAGAATCTGAAGCAGGCTCTAGGCTCTGAGCTGTCAGCACAGAGACCGACGTGGGGCTCGAACTCATGGACTGAGAGATCATGACCTGAGCCGAAGTCGAACACTTAACTGACTGAGCCACCCAGGTGCCCCTCAATGTTCTAACATGAAGGAAAATTCATTTTCTCTACTTTTCCCTTAAATGACTCCTGAGTTCTAGTTAACGTTTAGGAAAACCTGGTTGTAGTGTTATTGAATTTGCATGTTTTTAAATGATAAATAATGAGTTTTGATTTTTCTAACAGGTTATCTTGCCATCCTTTTCTGAGAAGGATGCCCAGTGTAAAATAATTTTAAGCTTATGTAAATGCTTATGTAACAAATAGCATTAGGCCAAATTGTCCTTATAGCCTGAGGTTAATGCTGTAACCTAATCTAGTTTAGCCAAAATGACTTAAGAATGTTGCATATGGTTTTTAAACTCTCTCGTCTTTGTTATATGTGAGTGTGTGTGTGTGTGTGTGTGTGCAGGGAAAAACAGAAAAAACATAAATCTTATAGTGAGTAAGAATGTAATTTCTATGACATGTAATATAGAATATAAAAATTTTATAATTTGGTGTTATTCTCTTCTAGGACCATGAGTCAAGTGCTGTTTGAAAGTAATGATTCTGAAAACATTATTGTTACAAGTCTGGGAACTCCTCCACAAGAATTCAATTAACCTAAGATTTTAATTTGAGTTAGATTTTAGGTATAACAAGAAATGTCTATCTATTGTTTTCTTTAGTTCATGAGGCTTTTTCTTCAAATTCTCTCTCAAAAGTTTTGGAGAAACAGTTTGGCTCTCAAGCAGACATCCTGAACAATGTTAAGCTAGTAATTAGCTCACGTTTCTAAAATAATCCCGTTCACGTACACTAAAGGGTCTGCTTCTATAGAACTTCAACTCATCCAGGGAGAAATACTATAATAATAAACGTTGGCATCCAAATTGAAACAGCATGAGGCTCCCAACAAATGTTTATGAAAACATTTGTTTTCTTATAGTTGGTTTAATCTTAAAATTTATGTCTTTGCCTGTGTACAAGGACAGTGTGTTTGGGACTCTGTTACTACCCCCACCTTCTGAAAACCAAACACACATCTGAACCCTGGCCCCACACATGACAGGACTCAGCAGAAACAGGCACTGTAATGAGAAGTCAGGACTTTTCAGGTATGTCACTCTGAGACCACCCTACTAGAGGAGGCCCTCAGATCACAAAGCCAAGGTCCCTTATGGAAACCCTGCTAATTAGACACGAATAATGGATTGAAGGTGTAAAATTCACCTCAGCTCACCACCAGCAGACTAAACAATCCAGATGACGAGAGAAAGATTTTGTGAGAAGGAGGAAGAATTCATTATAAGACTACCAGGAAGCTTGTAAAAGCATATCAGCTTTGACAAACCTAATGAAATAACAATGACTATTTTGAAACGAAGGGCATTAGATCTGAGTGAAATCCCTAGACAGACACCATTATGAATCATTAGAATGCTTACTTTGTGAATTAACGTAAGTTCGATTTTTGTTCTTAATATTGCCAACTTCAACCACCACTGAAGTGCCTGTTATTTTTTTCATTCATCACTTTGCTTTTCGCAAAGAGGACATTCGTTTCATATCCAAGGAGGAAAGGATCTACAACGTGTAAATAGGTGCTTCTCTTATCGTGGAAGAAAATGATACGCCAAGAGACCATTTAGGACTGATCACTCCTTTTTTTTTTGTTCTGTAGTACCAATGTTAACTTACACTTTTCTCAAGAAAGATAGTGTTTTGTGGTATGGGAAGAGGACAAAACTCTCTATTTTGTTTTCTGGAGGAAAAACATACACTATAACTTACAGATAATATTTTAAAGTGTAAATTTGCTTTTAGCAAACTTTTTAGATATTGGAATTTATTCTTCTAAAAGAGACGTGAGGGACGCCTGGGTGGCTCAGGTGGTTGGGTGTCTGACTTCAGCTCAGGTCATGATCTTACAGCTTGAGGGTTCAAGCCCCACGTAGGGCTCTGTGCTGACAGCTCGGAGCCTGGAGCCTGCTTCGGATTCTGTGTCTCCCTCTCTCTCTGCCCCTCCCCGCTCACTCTCTGTCTCTCTCTCCTTCAAATATAAACAAACATTAAAAAAAATTTTTTAGGGGCGCCTGGGTGGCGCAGTCGGTTAAGCGTCCGACTTCAGCCAGGTCACGATCTCGCGGTCCGTGAGTTCAAGCCCCGCGTCGGGCTCTGGGCTGATGGCTCAGAGCCTGGAGCCTGTTTCCGATTCTGTGTCTCACTCTCTCTCTGCCCCTCCCCTGTTCATGCTCTGTCTCTCTCTGTCCCAAAAATAAATAAACGTTGGAAAAAAAAAAATTTTTTTTTAAAGAGATGTGAAATTTGGGAATTTAAATATGCAAATGGGCTCAGGAAGATAAGTTAATACAGAAAGATTTTGAAATTCACACCCTGGTGGAGCTAGAGTCTGGCAATAGTGCATTCAGCGGTAGTGGTATTTGAGGACACCTAGGTTCTGTAACAGTTATTTCTGAACTCATGGCTAATATCTGTTTGACAGTATATAATTTTATCAGCTTCTGATAGTTCTGACTTATCCATGAAATTAAGAACTGACTAATTATGATTCAAGATAACAATGTTGTGATGTGTCGGTGGAAAAGAGCAAGGGGGATAAATATGTTATTTAAAAGATTAAACATTCGGGGCACCTGGATAGCTCAGTCCAACTCTTGATTTCAGCTCAGGTCATGATCTCATGGTTCTTGAGATCGAGCCCCTTGTTAGGCTCTGCACTGACAACTTGGAGCCTGCTTGGGACTTTCTCTCTCCCTCTCTTTCTGCCCCCTCCCCCGCTCATATTCTCTGTCTCTCTCAAAATAAATAAATAAACATTAAAAAAATAAAAATTAGGCGTGCCTGGGTGGCTCAGTCAGGTAAGCATCTGACTTCGGCTCAGGTCATGATCTCGCAGTTCACAAGTTGGAGCCCCCGCGTCGGGCTTTGTGCTGACAGCTCAGAGCCTGGAGCCTGCTTTAGATTCTGTCTCTCTCTGCCCCTCTCCTGCTCATGCTCATGCTCTGTCTCTGTCTCTCTCTCTTTTAAAAATAAATAAACATTAAAAAAAATTGAAGATTAAACATCAAATCTTCCTCTTGCTGAGGTAAATGACAACATTTCTTTCGTTTCCATTTGTTTAGTCACATTAGCCTGCATGACAGCTGTGAGCTTCCAGATAGTTTTGAAATGAGGCTCAGATGTTGAAACTGCCAAATAGCTTATCTTGATTACCTGACAAAAAAAATCATACTGAATAGCTATAATGTCTGCCAATATGTTTCTAGTTTTCTAGAGACAAGAGGAAGGTTTATTGCTTCCAACATGAAAGCCAATACCTTTCACATTTGGGTCCTCTTCTGGCGTGTAACTGAGGATGCTGATTCCACAAATCAAATGCTGCTCTCCGATGGCAACAAGAATGACATGCATATGTGGACACAATGGGGCTTATAAAGTTCAGCAGGGTCAAGTCTAGCCCTCATAGACTGGAGTGGAGGGTTCTCCCAGGATAGCACTTGGCATATGGACAAGGCAGAAGTGTTCATCTTTGTTGATTGCTAATTGCAATTCATCGTCCTCAATGTGAAGACACTAAAACAACTTGGACAAACTACTTGACTTAAAGGAATATAAAAAGATCTCACCTTTTGGGATCTACAATTTTGTAGAGTTTTCCATTGTGAGTCTGGGTCATACTTTTACTACTTGATAGAATGTAAACTTCACCTGTGAAAAGTGAAATACAGTAAGTTAATTTACAGTATTATAAAGCCTTACTTCCTATTGTCGAAGCAGATTATTTCATATAAATAAATAGATATTTTGTTTTATTTATTTATTCAATTTGTTTAATGTTTAGTTATTTTTGAGAAAAAGAGAGTGAGACAGAGTGTGAACAGGGGAGGGGCAGAGAGAGAGGGAGACACAGAATCTGAAACAGGCTCTAGGGTCTGAGCTGTCAGCACAGAGCCTAACATGGGGCTCACATCCACAGACCATGAGATCATGACCTGAGTCGAAGTTGGCTTAACCAACTAAGGCACCCAGATGTCCCAATAAATGGATATTTTATATTTATTTTTGTATCTATGTACATATGTATATATGTATGTGTATGTATATGTGTGTATGTGCATGCACATGTATATGTCATGTATCTGTATCTCTCTATATATCTCCTCACAGCCTCAAGAAAATCACTTGCCTAAAGATTATGAGAGTCTCTGGGGCACGTGGGTGGCTCAGTCGGTTAAGCATCCGACTTCGGCTCATGTCATGATCTCACAATTGGTGGGTCCGAACCCCGTATCAGGCTCTGTGCTGACAGCTTAGAGCCTGGAGCCTGCTTCAGATTCTGTCTCTCTCTCTCTCTCTCTCTCTGCCCCTCCCCTACTCTCTCTCTCTCTCTCAAAAATAAACATTAAAAAAAAAAAAGATTATGAGAGTCTCACAAGTCTACTTTCACAGTGCATCCAGAATTCAGTCACTTGTCTCCACATCCTACTACTATTCCAGAACAAGCAGATACCAGTGTGTCCTGGATTAGGGCAGGAGCCTCCTAACTGATCTCCCTGCTTCTCCCTTGTTCTTCCATGTTTAATTTCAACATACCATCCACAGAAAATCCTTAAAGCAAGTTACATCATTTAAGTTGGATCACGTTCCTTTGTTTCAGTACTTCCAATGGCTTCTAATCTCTCTCAGAGCAAAAGTAAGTCCTGGCAGTGGCCTATGATGCCTCCCCTTATTGCTCTGACCTCATATGCTATGCTTCACCCTCTTGTTCACTCCTTCCTAGCCACAGTGGCCTCCTGGCTTTGTACACATGAGGCAGCACCTGTGCCATGCTCCTGTCTAAGGAGGCCCCCCCCCAGTTTCAGGCTCTTCGTCAGGCTCCTGACTCAGTTCCTATCTCAGCTTCTGTTCCAGGCTCTACCTGTCACAGCATCTGTCCCAAGTTGTCCCAGCCTCCTGTCCTTCACTAGATCTCCACTAGGTTGGCTTTTCTTTCCCCCTTCAAGTCTGTACATAAATATCATCTTTTCTGACTGCACTATTTAAAATTGCTCTGCTCCCAACCCTCTTCACAATGGGACTTTTCTCCAAAGCATTTACCAGTTGACACTATATATAGATAGATATGTCTCTCTCTCTCTCTTTATATATATATATACACACACAGACACATATACATATGTGTACACCCAACATGGGGTTCGAACCCACGACCCTGAGATCAAGAGTTGGATGCTCCTCAGGCTTTGCCAGCCAGGTGCCCTCTTAAGTAATCTCTACACCCAACGTGAAGCTTGAACTCATGCCTCCGAGATCAAGAGTTGGATGCTCCCCCAACTGAGCCAGCCAGGCACCACCATGGGGCTCTTAATTAAAGCCAAAGAGTATCACATTAAGGCATAATTCAGTGAAAGCCAGTTTAATTTTAATTATAAAGTATACACGATGCTGTAGCTTTTGACAGTAAGGATTGTATATGCTTCATTTGTTAGGTCTACTCCCAACATAGTATTAAGTGCAGATAGATGTTTGGATATTTTGACCAACGGTGGTGACACTAACAGGATGATTGATGGTGAGTCATTTGCAGTAAGGTCTGGGGAACTCAGAATGATTCAGTCACAACATCTAAATATTCATTTGTAACTCTGCCACAAACAATTTAATCCTCATTTATATTTTAAAACCAGGGTTTGCCAATGAAATTTAAATTACATTACAGAGTATTTCAGTGGAAAAGGGTATCTCTTTGGTTTTTCTGAGTGGGCTAGGAGATACCAAGGGAAAATTAATTGTAAATGTTTTCAATGTTGGAACAAGAAAAGAACAGATTGGACTTCTCTTCTTTAAATCATTGTATTCCTGTGGCTCTGAAATCCATGTTAAGTCCCTTGTTAAACTAAGTGAATGGCATAAAACTATTTACTTATGAATTCCCCATTTGATGTAATAAAACCAAAGCTGGACTTCTAGAGAAAATATTCGGATTCAGATGGGAAACACAACTCTTCTTTCTTAACACCTAAAATTCATCTCTCAGCCTGGGGGAGCATAGTAGCCATGGTTTGCCATGGTTTGGGTGCTGACCTTTAAACAGTGTAATTATGAAAGCTATGTTTATCTCTATAATTTAAAATCAGTAGCATTTTTCTCTTTGATCGCATTCCAGTTTCAACTTCTCTTTGCTTGTAAGTTACATACATTTTGATAAAATATGAACAAACATATTATGTGTTATCCCATAGATTGTCATTCAGAAGATCATTTTTATTCTGTTGGAAAGCAGATCTAAAACTTCAGCTTATCTTACACAAATTGCATGTCCCAATGGATTAAAAAAAATCAGAAATAGAGGATAAGGTGAGACTCAGATTGCAACAATTTTTTAAAAATTTGTTCCAAGAGACATGGAAAGGCTTTCAGATAGAGAATAGAAACAAATGACAGAGCTTTACTTAAAGTTTAAGTAGATATTTAAGATTTTCTCTCTTTAGGACTCAAAAATTCTCTTTTGTTCTTGCCTTCCATTTTCCTGCTTTGTTACTTTTATATTTCTGGAGTGGAGATAAGACTAAAAGATGCCCAGGGAAAGCTCATTGGGAAAGAACACGTGACTGGGCCATCTCTAACCTCCACAGTGGGTCATCTTTGCTGCAGGTTACCATTATCAGCAAATGGTTTTTGTTGTTAAAACAAAGCCTCTTGGGCAAGGGAGTGAGAAAGCAACTTAATAGAAATGGTTTGTACAGTACCTAATTCATCTTCTCCAAATCCCAAGATGTGACCTGAAAAGTAACCTCTACAGGAACCACTGTTGCCGAGACAGAGTGGTTTTTCTTGCCATTGCTTGCTCACGGGACTTTGCTGGAGGGTTAAGAAATTCCTACAACAAAAACATACCGTAAACTTACAGTGAAAATAGGCGTTTGCTTAAAAAAAATAAATAAATAAAAGGCTTAGAATAAAGTTCACAATAAATAATTGTTGTGCCATGAACCTGGCTTCTAAAAGGAAAAGTAACATAGCCCATAATGTGTGCAAATACTCTGAAATTCTCATGTAGGGAGAAAGTACTTAAAGATAATATTTTGTTTGGAGGGGGGCACTAAAAGTACCTGAGTATGAGAAAAGCCCTCCCCTTCATCCAGAGAATGATACTTCCTCTCCAGGACTAGACTCCATGCTGTGCTATTAATCAGAGAGAGGGACAGGGGGAAGATCATGGGGTCAGTACACTTTTCTAGTTCCTTTTAGTGACCAAGCATATCAGCTCTGCCATATGCCTGAATGCCAGTGACTCGGGAAACAAGGTTCTTAATTTGGGTTTCATCACAGAGTTCCTTCTAATTATCTACAATGTGACCTCTAAAAATTAGGCTAAAATGTAACTTTGTAGTATTCTTACCAATAAAGACAAACTGAGTTCTATTGTTAAAAGTCCTAAAAAGTATGGCAAAAACAAAAATTCTTAGCCTTCCAATTTCCAAATAATTTGGAAAATACTTGCACAACTCGTGTATAACAATAGTTTTCAAGTAACTCATTATCATGGTAAATTTATGTTAAGGATGAAGGGAAAAGCTTACATCATATGCAAAGTCCATATGAAGACCTCTCTGCTCTTAAAAATTATATTATGAATTTAATCAAATTTGTTTAAAAAGCATCTCTTAGGAAGTTCTTCAACAAAACCACCATAGATAATGAACTAAAAGAAAATAATAGTCTTTATGTGTGTACCTGACCTGACCCCCAAAGGGAGACAATCATTTGAATATTTTATGGCAGTTTGCCCACTAATTGATGGATATGTCATTTGATACATGAAATTATGGTACCAGGAAACCTACCCATTCCGGTCTCCAAACACATAGCTTCCATACAGTCTTTCAGACTGGCATCCTCGGTAAACAAATCCACCCACCAAAGGACCATTACTGAATGGCTTGAATTCTAAAAGTGATGGCTCACTTTCTGGAAAGAAATAAATGTAACATTAGATCAAATGAAACATACTTTTTATGAAATAAAAGTAATGTAGGCCAAGTAATACTATTATGGTCATTTATTTTACATTTGAAGTATGTTCCACAGTACACAAGCAGAACCCTTGTTGTAGATATTTAGTAGAAATAATTCCCGTTGCTTAAACCATATCAAATATTAAGACTCTCCATGTGCATCGTACTGAAACGGGAATGCTCTGTGAATGCTTTGCTGTTATAATTGTCACACATACCAAATTTTCAGTGACATTAGAATCTGGATATTGTGGAAATCATGGTTATTTACTTAAGAACCAAAGACTTAAAAAATTATAATTTTTTTGTGTTGATTTTTTTTGTAGAAATGCTTCTGCATATATGTAGTAAATTAATCCAGACTTCTGTCAAGTTATATAAAATGTTGGAGAGTTCATATTTTAATGGAAATAAAAGGTCCTTAAAACTGCATTTGTATATTTAAAAACATTATCACTCAAGTAATATCTTCATTTAAACTATTTTAAGAGTTTTGTTTATAGAGTTGTATGGTTAACAAAGTCTATTGCAGCCATTCTTTTTAAAATTACATGTGTATAGTCACATATCTTAATCTTTCCATGCATGCCATTATATACTTGAATTCATGTACACTAATTGCAATGGAAAAGATCTAAAGCCAGTTGCAAATTAATCTGAAAATTGCTACTTATGTGCTTAATGTCAAATAAGTCACTATCAACAGGCAGTATTTTAGGCAAAAACTTTGGTGGAGAGACAGTAATTTTAAAGTAATTGTCCCTTCCCATGTAATTAGGGTGAATATATTATAAAAAGTAGGAAAGATTAAGTTTTAACTACTGCACAGCAAGGAAGCATAACTTCCAGGTCACGAACTCTGGAGTCAGTCAGCTTGGGTTTAAATCCAGGCCCTGCCACTTACGTTGTATGATAATTAACCTTTTTGTGTCTCAGTTTCCCCATCTGTACAATGTGGCCAATAATAGTGCCTATCACACGGAGTTGTTCCGTGAATGAAATGAATCAAATTTATAATGTTACTACAGGGGCTGGCATGTAGTCAGTACTGACACGTGGTTATTTTGTTCTCGTTTCTGTTTTCTGCTTTATTGAAGTAAAGATAACAAATAAAATTATAAAATATTTAAAGTATACACTGTGGTGATTTGATATATGTATATATTGTGAGGGGATTCTGTGGATGTGTTTTGAAAACATAAATATAAGGCTATCAATATTGTAGCCAGTTTCAGCTGAGGCCCAATTAATGTGATTAGAGAATTTAGTTTAATCTACAAATATAGCCAAAATTCCATCAAACTAGTGACTCATGAGATTTTTTACCCAAACCACATTATTCTTTGGTTTGGCTTTTATAAGATGTGTGTGCGCGCACACACGAATACCTGAAAAAAAAAATAAAGTAAAATAACTGAATACCACATGAACTAACACAGCTGCTTCATTCCTGGTGCTAAATAAATATCTGTATTGAATGAGTAAATAGAAGAAGCAATCAATTTAATAATCTTAATCTACTGTGTTCCCTGAATCATAATAATTTTGATATATTGCTTCCTCCAAAAAGAGTAAATAATAAAACACTGAAAAATATTAAGATTTTTGGACTTCATTATTATCCAACTTTATTTTGTATATATATCTCTAAAACATTCTAGTAATCATGTTAGTAAAAGTAATGTCTAAACATTCCATTTTCATGACGTGGGTAAATAACATGTCTTTACATGTCAATTACTTTGTTTTCTTCTACAATGGGTATCTTAAAGAAATTACATTACTATTTGAAACACAATTTTTCTAATTGTTGAGACTAGAATATTGGGGATTGAGGAATTTCTTACCTTTAACTTGTTTTTTCCCACTGTATATAAGATGTTATGACAAGTTCAGCCTTATATTAGAAGTTACTCATCTTGACTCTCAGAGGAGCAAAATATAAACAGCTAATTTTTGAAGGTCCATTAAATTTTTTGCACCTACAGAACACAGTTTAATCCATTGGAAAGATAATTACCCAAATGGAATTCCTGGGGCTCATAAGAGTCACTGGACCTTTAAAAACGTGTGCAATTTACTCGCTTACCACTGTTGGGTCAGTGTGTTTATGCCTTCCCAAAAGCTCATTTTGTAGAAATCCTTTTCTCTTCAATGAATATGCTAAAGTAAAACAAAGCCCGAATTAAAGCCAAATCAACAAATTATGTTCTACTTACCATAGTCTTTCCCCTTTATTATCTGTAGGATTCTGGCTGATGATCTGTTCTTTCCATTGGAGTCTGAACAAAGTATTGTTAAATTGATGTTTATGTCAGTGGGATGTCGATCCACAGCACATCTGCATAACAAAAAGGAGACATCCATGAATTCCTACCAGGGTATTTTCTAAACTGAGACTGGAGATTCCTGACAGAGGAACCCCTTGGTGGGCTGGCAAGGACCCTATGGGCTATTTCCTTTGGATCCTCAGCAGAAACATCCTGATTTGTTTGTTCACTCTGCTGAAGCTAAATGATCTCTGGAGAGTATTTCCTAATATTCCTTGGTATCTCTCGCTAGTATGAACATACACACTGACTTGAAACATTTGTTGGTGCTGTTATTAAGGACTATTGCATATATAACATGCTGGGAAGGTAGGAGAACCTTCAGCAGCAGCAACTCACATCTGCAATACACAAAACAGTCTTCGTTTTGGTGTTTGTTTTGTGTTTTTACATGGAATGGCTATATTCTAAAGCTCAAGCTGCAAAGCATGCACTACAATGTAAGGTATAAAATAAAGCTGGTCCCCACAACCACTGAAGTCTTTTATGTTACATTGACTGTGTCTTCACGTCACCCCCAATCTGGGGTTAGAATATTTCTATGACTTAAGCCACCAACTGTCAACTCCATTAGCGCAGGGATCCCTTCCAACTTCTTTATCACTGTGTTTCTGTTACCTAATTCAAACCCAAGAATATCAAAGGGGCTCAATGTGTGTTGAATGTTTAAGTCAATGAGGGACTGGGCATATGGAGTTTGGGTTGCGAGAAGAATGAAGCTGTATAATATAATTACTTCTGAAGTTCTCACAAATGTGGAAAATACTGTTGCTTTGTTTTCAGGTTTCTCAACTTTGACATTCTTGACATTTTGAGTCAGACCATTCTTTGAGCGGGAAACTGGAAGGAGGAGGTTCTGTACTGAGCATGTACAATGTTTAGCAGCATGTCGGTGGCATGAACCCCTCCACCAGAGTTGTGAAAACCAAAAATGTTTCTAGGCATTGCCAAATATTCTCTGGGGGCAAAATAATCCCATTGAGAATCACTCCTTTAGGTCAACAAAATACATTAATGACTTAACAACCAAACCAAATCTTTGGGGCTACTAAATAAACTAGAAAACAAAACAACCCGGGAGTAGGTTCTGGGGCTTAAGACATGTTAAGAGTCACACACAGCAATCATCTCAACAACAATAACAGCCACAAAATAAAAACTGTTGCATCCAAATGATCCCATTCATAATAGGGAAACTCTAAGCCTGACCTACCAAAGATGAGTTAGTTGTTCCGTGGCAACAGTCCCTTTATTGTCTTTAATTCAACGATTCACAGAGTACAATGCCTGGCAGGGAACATGACACAGACGTGATGTGACTTAAGGTGGAACTAAATCCATGGATGGGGAGAACATTTTCCCATCTTGCCTTTCTTTTTAAGATGGAGGAACTATGACAAAAGAAGGTTTGACCACTTTCTATCAAGAAAAGAACAAATCTGGAAGAAAAGGCCAGGTCTCCCAAAGGTGGAGATGCCGGATGCCATCAGGCCTACCTCTGTCTGAATACTATGTCCACTGGGAACCACTTGACCTTTCTAACCTTTAGTTTCTTTTCAGAAAAAAAAAAAAGAGGTGGATACACATGGGTACTGGTCCTTATACATCTGTCCAAGTCCACAGAACATACAATCCCCAGTGAACCCTAATGTAAACTTTGGACTTTGGGTGATAATGATGTGTCCATGTAGGTTCATCCATTGTAACACATGGAATACTCTGGTGGGGATGTTGCTAATGGGGAGGCTGGGCATGTGTGGGGGCAGCGGACATGTGGGAAATCTCTGTACCTTCTGTCCAATGTTGCCGTCTTTAAAATTGAAGTCTTTAAAAAAAAAAGAAAGAAAAAGAGCGGTATCTAATGTCAGCAGGACCTCAGAGTACTGCTGAATGTCACAAATGAGATAATGTGTGTAAGATACTGAGTTCAGCACTCTGCCCCAAGGTACTTAACACAAGTCAGCTTTACTTTTAGCCAAGAATTGTTTTACTTTCTTTTCTGCTTTACTAAATCTTTCTCCGCTTGAGATACTCTTGAAGGGAGGTGCAGATTCCCTTAAGCTCTCTGCTGCCGGAGGAGGTAAGACTCTACAGCATAGGCATCCTGCCATATGCAAGGTCTGTAAAGTGCCTCATCCTGTGTTTTTGCACTGAGGGTCCAGGACCCCTGGAAGGTTGCACGAAAGCTCCAGTGGGATTGTGGTGACTCAGGCTGCTCAACTTCAAAGTGCTGCTTTGCGGTGGTATCTGCGAGTTCTGAGCTATAGGAATGGAATGTGACAGTTTCCTCCACATCCTGAACCCACCGTAAGTACTCCCTGTCGCACAGATTTTAAGATCTGCTGAGATGCCAAAAAGGAAATGAACTGTAGACTTGGACTTTGATGGAGGGGAGATGAAGGGCATGAGGGATTATAAAAATAAAAAGTTCGAGAAATACTCACCTTGCACATAGTGAACACTCAATAAACATTAAATAGCAATAATAACTTAGCTAGTAAATGAATGAATGTGGCCAAATATCCCATAGTATGAATAAGAGACCACAGATTGGATGAAGCTTTCATCACAGAATTGCTATATTATACTCCATAGCATTTTTAAGTGTACCCCAAATTTCTCACTCTACATACATCTCAGTGTTCCTTTCTTTATAGTTCATTGTAGTAAACGGTCAGTATGAATTCCTTTGCTACTTGTAATTTTTTTTTCAGGTGGAAAAATGTGAACATTGAGCTCAACTCCTTACAAACTCATACTGCATCATCATATTTAAGTGAAGCTGTAATAAGAAACACAATTTATTTAAAACCTATCAGGTGTGTCGGGCACTCTGCTTTTTTTCTAGATTTTCATTTAATCATGACAGCATCCTCAAAAGCTGTTACCACCCCCATTCAGTGCGTGTGGAAAATTTCATTTAGAGGGGTTTAAGGAGAAAAATTAAAAAGTTTATCATCTAAATCTGAAAAACGGAACTCTTAATCATTACACTAGTCCAATAGTGTTTAAAAACAACACTCTAGAACTTTAAGGCACTTTTCCTCCATGAATTTGTTCTCTTCCATATGTCTAATCTGCCGTCTCAATCTGCTTCACACATTAATAGAAGAAAGAGTGCTGAGATAATGAGCTGGTGTGATTTTACAGGTGCAACCTTGGACAACACCCGTGGCTGCTCGGTGCCTGGCCCCCCCTCATTCTTTTTCCAGTTCCCGAATCCTGGCCGGGCTCGGGTTTATAGCAGGTGCGGGGTTGTGGGGGAGGGGGGCAGGTCGTGTTCTCACCTGCCTGGATCGTGCAGGCCGTGCGCAAACACTTCCGGGGGCTGGTTGGTGCTGTTGAAGTGCGGATTACTTCTGGGGATGGAATAAGGCACGTTGCACATATCTGTGTCCACGTCCAGCCGCAGCACCGACCCTGTGAAATCACTGAGAAATTGGACAAAGAGGGTCAGTGTTTTCTGCTTTTGTTACATAGTTTACCTAACCTAAATGTGGGAAGGTCTCTCCACAGTCAAAAGAATCATTCCCCCATTTGAGACAAAATTATTAAAGTTATGAATTCCATATCGTGGGGAAAGGAAACAGGGGCAGTTTGGTTTCACACAAATGGCAGCACCTTGACACAGCTGAGTAGTGGCCGAGGACTGCAGCATCAGTAGCGTGCTACATTTTGCATCTGTTCCTTAGTTTTTGCCAATCCCTGGATTTTCTGCGCCCCCAGAAGCGCCACTGGACCTTGTGCGTCCAGCCTGTGTATTGTGCAAACCACACAGCACTGATGCATTCTAGAGCATCTGCGTATAGCGACTTCCAAAAATATCATCAGCATATTACTGAATTTTTCATTTTACAAATGCAAACACCCATAAGAAAAGTTAAATGTTTAACCAAGGAGACATAATTCAAAGACGGTTCTTTTTTTTTTTTTTTTCCCAAAGACAGCTCTTAACTCACTGCTCTGACCCTTTTTCCCCGGCTGACACTTAAGACATTTGAACATCAAGGGGAACATTTTTGGTTTTGTTTTCTTTTTTACCTTAACCCATCCATTTCTTCCATATCATCCAGTGTGATCATCCCATCACCGAGAATGATGTACAAAAAGCCCTCAGGGCCAAAGAGCAGTTGCCCTCCTAGATGCTTTCTGTGGAGTTCTGCCACTTCAAGAAATACTCTGGCTGTTCTCAAATCAACTTGATGGGGATTTTTTCTACATTGGGGGAGGAAACAATACCATGATTGTTAAAGGTGTTTAGGTGAATCCACTAGAAGGTAAAAATGGTACACAAATTAGGGGAGTAAACACTTGGCATGTAAATAAGGAAACATGCTTGAAATGGAACTAATAAAAACTACTGAAAAATTACGTTATTTTCTAAGTTTCAGAAGTAGCACCTAAGCTGAAAGATAAGAGAGGAAAAGTGCCAAAGCTATCATTTTTCTCAATTCTCCTTAAGGACACATAGGGGGTTTTCAGCAAGGTGGAGATTGTGGTTTAATTACGGTCACCTTTGTTTCTAAAATAATTGGGAAGAGATAATGAGAAGATAAGATTGAAAAATATTTATGCCTCAGTGCATTGTAGTGAGTGATACCTGGATACTGTGTATTCCACAACTCGAAGAATGTGGTCATGAGGCCCGATAGCCCACCGTTCTTGGTTGGTGGTATAAGACACATACAGCTTTCCATTTTTCTTGTAATTGGGATGGAATGCGAGGCTTAGCAGACCTCTTTCATCTCCTCCCTGCAGTCAAATGAAAAACACAAAGAATTGTGAAGTTAATTATGTTCTTTATTGTGTTTCAACTGGAACCCCAAAAGAGTCTCTTTCTTTTCTTCTGGATAATCTTTGCCCAAACTCTTTTCTTCCTTGCCCACTGCACAAAAAAAGATCATGAAACATTTCACCCTGCGGAACTCTTTAAGGGTTAGAACAAGACAGTTGTCTTGTGTGGCTCTCTATGCACAAGACCCCTACACCACTCTTGTCCAGTGATTTGTGTATGCAATCTTGGGAAGCTAGGAGGACAAGTTTAACTGTTGTGATTCTTTGCTGGGTTACTAGGTTGCTTGTAGCTCATAGAAGACAAATAAAAAAGGTTCATAATCAGCAGTCACTTCTAATCCAAGTCTCCCAAACCTAAAACACAGTGTGGGCTGCCAACTCCCACTGTCTTGGCAATATGTTTAGAAAACAGTTAAATTGCTTGTGTAATATGTAAACCTTTGTTTTACCCTGGAGGCATCTACATCACTTGTCACAACGATGGTGGTCTGTTCATCATAACTAGGTAATAAGCAGCCTTGGCCTATCTACAGAGGAAGGAGGTATTTTTACACGTACCCTTTCACAGCATCGAGCTTTTCTTTACAGAAGGATGGAGAAACGGGAGGGGAGCTAAACACCAGGGCTGGGACGGGGGTGGGAGAAATGCTAGAGAGGAAAGGGGACACTAGGAAATAAAAAAAAAAAAAAAAGATCCCAAACAACTTTCTTTGTTATTACATGAATGTCAAGGATTGTATACATTAGGCATGCCAAATGCTGTAACAATTAAAACATCATTATGTTCTTAAATAGAAAGGCATTTTATCTTTATTTTCCTGCTAATTCAGCTTGATGAAACTCAATATGGTCTTAGCATTTGCTTTATCCCACAAGTGGTCCCGGAATTTCTATAATGAAATTATAGTATCTGAAATTATCTAGATCAGAGACTTAAAAGTTCAAATTCTAGTAAGCCAGTGAGGGCTTTCTCTGTAGTCTGAGGCATTATCTAAACTGGTGAAGAATACGACACAGAAACTGAAATGAAGCAACTGCTAGGACATCACCTTACCCCCGCTACTTCAATACCTGTCTCGTCTCCTGAGGCAAACAGCTAGAAGTTACCCCTTGGAAATCTTACAGGAGGGAAATAAGTCTCGAACACTACAACTTCTTCACAAGTTTATGCTTGGTAATGGAAGCACTCTTTTGCTCTTCTCCCCCAGAAGACCATGTGTTACTACGGAAGCACAGAGCTGTGTGTGGTGGGATTCTACATGGACTGAAGAATTTAAAGTTGTGGGCATGGGGCGGGGTGTAGTGGATGGCTCAGTGGGCTGAGTGTCCGACCTCAGCTCAGGTCATGATCTAGTGGTTTGTGGGTTCGAGCCCCGCATCCAGCTCTGCACTGACAGCTCAGGGACTGGAGCCTGCCTTGGGTTCTGTCCTTCCCTCTCTCTCTGCCCCTCCCCCATTCATGCTCTGTCTCTCTCTCTCTGTCTCTCAAAAATAAATAAACATTAAATTTTTTTTTAAGTTGTAGGTATAAAAGCTCACTTTTAATAACCATTGTTTGATTTATCTCTTGGATTAGAGAAAAACTGCTTTCCGAGAGATGCCATCCAAAGTGGAAACACTTTTAAGAGTGTATAAATAAGAAAGTTGATGCAGGGGCGCCTGGGTGGCGCAGTCGGTTAAGCGTCCGATTTCAGCCAGGTCACGATCTCGCGGTCCGTGAGTTCGAGCCCCGCGTCAGGCTCTGGGCTGATGGCTCAGAGCCTGGAGCCTGTTTCCGATTCTGTGTCTCCCTCTCTCTCTGCCCCTCCCCCATTCATGCTCTGTCTCTCTCTGTCCCAAAAATAAATAAACGTTGAAAAAAAAAAAAAGAAAATGGATGCAAATATTCCAGAACTACCAAAGCATAATTGAAATGTCAAAAAAGCCAACCTCTTCATTTGTAAGCTACAATATGCTTAATATTAATTTTAATCAAAACAATCTCATTGAAGGGGATGGATCTAATGACTGTGATGAATGAAAATGAGCCTCTATTTTTCAGATGATCTTAGAGTGATTTTTTTTCTTAGAGTGATTTTAGTATTGATTTGATGTTGCTTAACTTCATTAAGCAAATATCTCTTCTTATGAGATGTTGAAAGCTGGGATGCATGACTAAGAATTGATTGTAGAAAAGCACATTTAAATCTCTTTGATGGATGTATAAGAAAGCTGAGGGGTGGGATTTAGTTTGTGATTAATTCCTCTTCCGAATGTATTTCACTTTAAAGCTGAAGTGCAGGGTAAGTACTTTATACCCACTTCACAAATATTTGCGTTCCACTATAAGGAGCTTTTGCTGAAAGCAGTTCTTTTATAGTTTTTAATCAAATCATCTGAGATACAATTTGAGTTGGATAGCAACATGGCTTAGAACTGTACTCACTCCTTTTCAGGAATTAGGAATGTAGAATTCATGCACTATAGAGAGATAGGGAAAGAGATTTAAACAAATCCACAAGTGACAGAAGGTAATTGTTCACTTTAGAGATTCACCTGTCACATAAATGAATGTGGGGGCATCACTGGCATTTGTTAAGGTGCCAAATATAGAAACGTAATGAGACATTTGAATTACAAGAAAATAAATGAAAAGAAAGCAATTTTTTTTAAAAGTCAGTAATTCTGAAGTTTTTAGGATGTAGGATTTACATTTGTTTAATTATATTACATATGATTTCGTATTTTATTTATTTATTTTTATTTTTTATTTTATTTTATTTTTTTATTTATTTTTGAGACAGACAGAGACAGAGCATGAGCAGGGGAGGGGCAGAGAGAGAGGGAGACACAGAATCTGAAACAGGCTCCAGGCTCCGAGCTGTCAGCAGAGCCTGACGCGGGGCTCAAACTCACGGACTGTAAGATCATGACCTGAGTCGAAGTCGGAAGCCCAACTGACCGAGCCACCCAGGCGCCCCTATGATTTCGTATTTTAAAGTCAGCTTCCAGGTAGTGATCTGGTTGGCTCTTAGACACATGACTAACTACTCTTAAGTTATTTCAGAGAAATACTCTCTTAACGATACTGATAAAAAAATTTAATGTATGATATAAATATGCTAGTGTATCTCAAAATTAGCTTTGTAAACTATGTAGCATAACATGGCTCCTAAATGTTCAGAGATTGGGAAGAGGGGGTGTATACCACCACCGTCAGGAGATTAAAGTATCGACAGGCCAAAATTTACCTTGAATTGGCCATCAGAATTAGATCATCTGTTTAAAGTATGTTACCAACACATCATGATTTTCCTCACAAATGCAAACCTATCTTTGAGGTCTGGGTGATTTTTCAAGATCTATATATGGAGAAATATGTTGATTGGGCATGAAAGGTTTAATTTTGAGGCAGGGTCTATTTGAGGCCAAAAGGCCAGAAACACCACCGGACATGGGAGGCTTCAATGATAGTCTTCACCAGGAAACTGCCTATCCTGAGATCCTGAGCGCTGGAGCCTGGAGGCAGGGCAGACCCGCAGACCAGCTGTCCAGGCTCAGGGGGAAGCCCTTGTGTGCATGTTACTGACTCTCTTCTTACTACTCCCCATCTTCTCCTCTCAATTATGTGTCGCTTTATGGAATTAAAAATCATGCACTCCTTCCGGAAATGTCAAATTATCAAGTTGTTTCTAGTGAGCATCTGGGGAGAATGAACCTCTAGTGATTAGTTCAGCCAAACTGGCTAAAAAGGGAGAAAAACAATGAATAGAATGGCAAATGGAAGAGTCGCGGTCTAGGAAGCCATTCCTTTCAAAAACACATTGACTTCTAACCTTATACTTTTGAAAACATTCGCCAAGGTCCAAAATGCTTAACCTGACTCATGTGAAAAGCAGTGATTTATCAAAACGTTCACATTATACTTTGTACTTCATTATTAATACCGAATGCTTTATGTGCACATTTCACTATGTGCGCACTTCCAGGAACATACACCACTGCTAGAATGCTAGAAATGGTCTCCGAGTAATTTATAAAGAACACTTCAGTGTTCCCTCTGTTTGCGTAATGTCCTTTTTTGTTTTGTTAAAGTTAACTGCAGAAAACTTTTCATCCAAGCATCCTAGGCTACCATTGGGAACTTCCTTCCCCTTTGTTCAGCCTTCTCAAACTGCACCGACTTTGGGACAGCCCCTCACCAAGCACAGGTAGGTGAATGATTTGAAAATAACGTCCCTGTATACTTGAAAACCTTGAGATTGACCCATGTTTCAGAGTAAATCATAAAATTCTCCTAGAGACTTTAAATGAGTAGTCAACTGCCATTCTAGGTATCGTTCAGCTTTCAGAGCAATTTCACAGGGTCAACAGAAAAGAGACAAAAACTCCAAACAGAGAGTATTGACGACTTTAATGTAAATACAAGATCAGATCTAGTCCTATAGTTTTGGGACACTCTTCCCTGATGAACACATCAAAGTTCTAACCAGTTGACTAATATTCCTCTTCTTTGAAGAAAAGGGAAGTATCTACTGGAAAAAGAAAGGTAATGATAAAATGATTATAATAGAAAGTACTTTTTCTTTTCTTTTGTTTAGAAAAAGTTTATTTTGAGAGAGAAAATGTGTATGCACGCAAGTGGGGAAGGGGCAGAGAGGGAGAGAGGGACACAGAATCCCAAGCACTATTAGTGTGGAGCCCAATGTGGGGCTCAAACTCACAAACCACGAGATCATGACCTGAGCCAAAGTCAGATGCTTAACTGACTGAGCCACCCAGGCACCCCTTTTTTTCTTTTTTAAGAGAAATGGTGGGCATGGTCTCTCATTGATTTTTAAGAAAAACAGTCCCTTCATACTTTCAATGTGGTTAAAGTTAATTTTTTCTGATTTCTATCTTTAAAATTTGCCTTAACCTTTCTCAGGGTTGTATATTTTAGGAAACAAGACTGGGTAACACTGAACTAGAAGCACCAT